CGCCTCGCCGCTCCTGTTCTGGGTCAGAGGGGTCCCCCCCGCCCCGAGGGCCAGCTGCGGGCCCAGGACAGAGCCGGCGTGGCCCTGGGGCCCCCAGCGAGCACCATTCCCTGGGACTCGGTGCCCCGGCAGAGGCCCCAGTGCAGTGGCTGGTGAACGTGGCACTGCTCCTGCCCTCGCACCACCCAGCTGGGGCTACACGCACACCAGCCACCACGCGGCCGAGCCCCAGAGCCAGACACCAGACACAGGGGCCCTCCCTCCCCCCCCCGGGCTGTCTGCACCCTGCACTCAGCCGGGGCATGCATACTCTAAGTTGCATTCATGCACACCCATGAACATGCATCCACTGTCACGCGTGCACAAGCAGTCATGTGCACATGCACACACACACACAGATGCTTGCACTGTCTTGCGAATAAGAGATCATCTCTGTCCAAACCAGCCCAGACAAACCCTGTCTCTGACCTCTGAGCCGCACAACACAGTCACCCCTGACAGCCCCAGGCATTGCCTCCGCCCGCGGGATAGAGGGGGGCCACGGCCACCAACGTCCTGCTGCTGGGGGGGGGTGGTCATGGGATCTGCAGAGAGCCCAGGAGGGTCCCCCAGGCTGGGGGTCCTGCCTTCTGCAGAGGGGCCCTGGGGCCAGGCCTCCCTCGCACACCCCGGGCTCCTCCACGCCAGCACCCAGCCAGACCCCTGTGCCAGGGCCGATGCCAAACCGTCCCGCTCTGCACGCACAGCTCGTCGCGTGCAGCCGGCGAGGCTGCAGCCCAGCATGGGGTGACCCATGCTCCCCCTATGGACGGGGGCAATGAACATGCAAATGAGACCAGCCTGGGTCCAGCTTCTGGTCCAGGCCCAGGTCAAGGGCACGGTCCCCAGAGCAGGGACAGAGCCCAGTGCTCTCGGTGCCCATGTCACAGAGAGCACGAGGGGGCAAAGCGGGGCTGGAGGGGTGCTGGGAGGCAGTAGGGCTCTCCTGGGGCAGCCCCGCAGTACAGCCAGGCCTGGGGCCCTGGGAGCAGAGGGAAGCCCAGGACAAGGAGCTGGGCAGGGTGCCTGGCTGGGCCGGGCAGGCAGGAGGGGGAGGTGGGAGGTGCGAGGGGCCGGAGCAGGCAGCTCCTGGCAGCTGCGACTCCACTCCCCGCTGCGCCAGCCCAGCGCCCCGGTTCCCTCCCTCGGGCCGCACGGACGCGCAGGCTCTGGGGCCGGCCATGGGGGGCGGCCCGGGGCTGCTGGCCCTGGCACTGGTGGTGAGTGGGGCGGTGGGCGCGGGGCCCAGCTACGAGGCCTACGGGCGGTTCTCGGCCAAGGCGCCGCAGTGCGTGGACATCCCGGGCGACCTGCAGCTGTGCCACGACGTGGGCTACAAGCGCATGCGGCTGCCCAACCTGCTGGAGCACGACTCGCTGGCCGAGGTGAAGCAGCAGGCGGGCAGCTGGGTGCCGCTGCTGGCCAAGCGCTGCCACTCAGACACGCAGCTCTTCCTCTGCGCCCTCTTCGCACCCGTCTGCCTGGAGCGGCCCGTCTACCCCTGCCGCTCGCTCTGCGAGGTCGTGCGCGACGCCTGCGGCCCCGTCATGGAGTCCTACGGCTTCCCCTGGCCCGACATGCTGCACTGCGCCCAGTTCCCCCCCGACCACGGCCTCTGCATCGCCGTGCAGTTCGGCCACGGCCAGGTCACCGCACCCCCAGGTAATGGGGCGGGGGGCATAGCCGGTGCATCTTGGGGCCGTTGCCTTGCTGCCCCCTGCCCTGGGGCAGTGCAGGTGTGAGGAGCTGCACAGGGGGCAAGGGAGGAACCTGGGGCTGCCTGAGGCTGCTGAGGCAGTGTGAGCTGGGCTTGACCACCCTGAGGCTCAGCCAGAGCCCCGGTCCTGCCCCTGGCCTGGCTGCCGGCAGGGGGGCAGCAGACACCAGCACCCCTGACACCTGCCTGTCTCCAATGCAGTGCCCCGGCTGTGCCCGCAGTGCGAGGTGGAGCACAAGGCAGATGGCATGATGGAGCAGATGTGCTCCAGTGACTTCGGTGAGTGCCGATGGCTGCGGGGGTGGGGGGCTGGTCCTTGCCTCAGACCCAGGGCACCTCCTTCCAGCCCCTCCTGGGGGGTCCAGGGCTGGGAGCTCCCCCAGGGCCTCCATGTTCCCACCCCAGAAAAGCAGGGCCTGGCCAAGCCTGCGCGTCTTACCCCAAGTGGCAGGGCAGGGGGTGCGCTGCAGTCCTGGGGGTGCGTGCAGGCTGGGGGGGGGGGCTACGGCTGGGTGCCATGGGGCATGGCCCCCCGCTCCTGGCAGTGGTGAAGCTGCGCATCAAGGAGGTGGTGCAGGAGGGTGCGGAGCGGCGGCTGGTGGCGGCACCGAAGAAGAAAGTGCTGAAGCTGGGCCCGCTGCAGCGCAAGGACGAGCGGCGCATGGTGCTGCACATGCGCAACGCGGGCGCCTGCCCCTGCCCCCAGCTTGACCACCTGGGCGGCAGCTTCCTGGTGCTGGGCCGCAAGGCGGGCGGGCGCCTGCTGCTGCTCGCCATCTACCGCTGGCAGAAGCGTGACCCCGAGGTCAAGTTCGCTGTCAAGTTCATGTTCTCCTACCCCTGCCCTCTCTACCACCCGCTGCTGCTGCACAGCGCCCAGCACCGCTGACCCCCCGCCCTGGGCCTGCGCCCCCCTCTCCAAGCCCCACCTCCCGGAGTCCTGCGAGCACCGTGGGTTGTGGCCCCATCCCTGCCAGCCCCCCCATTGCAGGCTCCAGCCCCTCCCTGCCCCACAGCGCACCCATGGGGCCAGGCCAGAGCTGGCTCTCAGCTCCCCACGGCCCCCAGGCACCTGGGTGGCAAGCCAGGCCCTGGGCACAGCGCGCCCACTGCATGGCCCCCAATGAAAAAGGCCCAATCCTTAATACAGAGACACCCCCAGCAGAGGGGAGCTCCCACTCGGACCCCAC